TACATTTTCAAACAGCTTATAAATGTGAGTAGTCAGAAGGCGAACCTGAAAACATACAACAAAAATATACAAATAAATTTTTTATCCAGTTAAAATGTATTTGAGCTCAAAAAATACATTAGTAAGAACACTTACCACATGAAAAGGTGAAGACACGTTGGTTTTTAAATATGAATTGACTAATGACAAGTATGGATAAGTAAGTCCATTCTCATGTTCATAAGCTGTAAGATATAAATCTAGAAGGTGCAGAGAGCAAAGGTAATTAGGATCCGCAGCACACGGCAGGATTACTGGCAACAATGTATCTATATCACATATCTCTTTCAGCTTCTTGCAACTTGATATATGAACTGCACTTTCCAGAGCCACTGATAGTATGAAAAGCACTTTCCTAGCACATTTCGATAGTGCAGTTGTGTCACAGTGGAATTTATTCTCTTTAGGTTGGTTCTCCAGGTTATAACTCTTCAGTACATCCAGTAATTTTGATATCAACTCAGCTAGCATTTTCACACAATAATCAACATCGATTTTTTCAACATGTGGCAAACAAAATAATATATTTGTAAGCCCCACAGGATTCTCCACATATTTCTCTATGTCTTCCGACATTACATTTTCAAAATGCTTCATAAACTTTGGTAGATTTTTCCCAAAGTCCAAGGGATACTTTACCCACTCAAATAATTTTATACCATTCATTGATAAAGGTGATTTTTTCAGGCATATCTTAGTTAGAGTACCAAGGGCATCATTGTCGAAATCAGACTGAATAACAAATTTTATAAAAGGTGGTAAGATGTGCAAATCAAACTGTGAATATTCAATAACATTTTGTACAAAGTTTATCAATATATTTGGGAATGGTAAAGGCAGCAGCACTTTAACTATGATTCCAGCATGTTCTTGAGATAAAGAAACATTAGGAGAAAGTAGTAGAACTGCCCCTATCTGAGAACAAACTTCAAGAACACTCTCAGAGGCCTGTTCACAAATAACTTTTATGAGCAAAAGCACAAATTGTGGAGGGTTTATCAGATACTTCCCCTGCTGATGTTCTATGACCTGACCAGCAAGTCCTAAAATGTATTCCAAACCTTTACTTTCTTCATCATCATCCTTTAGTATTTCCTCAGTGAATTTTATGATGCTTGACCAGAAAACACCATATTCTTTGTGTGATACAACTTGCAAACTGTCTTCAATGGTTTGTGTCAGAACTTTGAACAGTATTTCTTGGTGTACCTTATTTTCTTTTAAATATTGAAGAAGCAAGGGAAGGAATGTTTCTATGCAGCTGTGGAATTTTCCAGTTACTCCTCGCAGTATTTCAAATATTAGGTGACCACAACCAGCGATGGCCTATAAATAAACAAAAATAAGAACATTAACAACATAAAAATGTTAATACATATTAAAGGTGTGTAGCCAATCTATAGAAATGTACAAACAACTTATGTACAGGGGTCAAAAATGCAATTGCACTCTACCAATTTTAAAATGACCAAAATATCTTTTTGCTATTCAAAAAGATATTTTGGTCATTTTAAAATTGTCAATGTTGAAGACTGCTTTAATTTATAGCATAGAATCTAAATTATGGACTGTACAACACAACTGTTGAAAATTAAAAAAAATTGTTTATTTGACATGGTGAATTAAAAATTAAACATTTACCATATGTAATGAATGTAAATAAATACTTACATCATCATTAGTCTGCAAATAATTTAGAACAAGACTAACAAACTTCTTTTTGTCCCTTATGTCCCTTGCAACAAAAGCAAAGCTTTCAGCTGCAAAATTATTTATATACTGTGGTTGAGATTCACTAAGCAAAGGTATAATCCTCTTTAGAACAACTGCTATGTCCTTTTTCAAGTATGGTTTGAGAATTTTGAACAAGAATGCTAGGCATACTAGTGTCCATTCTAGTCTATCAGCATCCTTAGTGTTTAGCAGTTTTATAAGGATATCCAAAAATCTTGGAAAATATGGATAGAAATCTTCTCTCAAGTCTTTTGCAACAGATACTAAAATTCTGAAAAAAAAAAGAAATCACACCTTGAAGAAATCACCAATATAAATACCTGCGGAATATACATAGGAAATCAAAAGTGGAATATAAATATAGTGAAAACTTCAACATATTATTATTGTATATTGCTAGAATCTTATTCGGAATGGAATAAGTACAAAAAGATAAATTATTCAAATTTTGATGTCAAATAACAGTTAAAAGTCCTAGCGTGTTACTTACTCAAGCAGAGGCTGCAAGCATAGTTGGTCTTCTAAATTCAAATATCTTTCTAATATCTCAACAACTTCATCTTTTTTGTGGACAAGTTGTGGCACAGTAATTATACCAAATACCTCTTTTCTGAACTTTTTAAAATTCTCTGTTAAATTGAGCACATGCCATTTTTGGAGGGCCACAAAGAAATGGGTTTCATTTTCTTCGGGTTGCTGTGCATATGCATGCTCAATGTGGTAAAGAGCTGCATGCCGGATATCGATAGCATTGATTCGTTCCGCAAAGGGAACAAACTGTAAGAATAAATTTTATGATGTAGTTTAATATTACATGCCACATAAACGTATAGCCGTCTGAATAAGAATATCAAACAATAATATCAGCACGTATGGAAAAGTACAAAAAACATTAAAGCCTTTTATACATATCAAGATCTTTTTCTTCAAAATGTGAAAATGTTATGAATACAGAAGATCAATGTTCAAATATCGCACTTAACCTATAACTTAATTGTATTAAATATGTTTTGGAACTTACACGAAAAGTATTCGTTGACTTGTGTTTAACAGGTTTACTTTTCATGTTGTAGCCGGTTATTCAGGGTATCATATATTTACAAAATTCATAAAAATCTTTAACAAATTGTAAATAAATCCACATGCCGACGACTAAACGTCAACTTCACAATCACTAACACTCGTGCTGCATGACAATGACAGACTTCATTAGACTTGACATTGACAGTATTGAAACATTTTCATATTTTTGTGTTGCTATCTATTATTATTTTCATAGTCTCATTGACATAGGAAATATATGGACTTGAAATACCTACGAAGAAAAGGTGCATACCTACAATCCAAAATGTCGCATAAGATGGCTGCCGTTGCTAGGGTTGTGCCGACTAAGTATTTAACGAGTATCGATACAATTTGAGTATAAGTTCTACGTAGGTATAGTTTTAGGGATTAGCCAGCTGATTAACGGTATTTTTTTATGGGAAATCGTCTAATGTCATCTCCGGCCCTTTTCGTGACAGACCGTTACTGACTAAAATCAACTCCTGTTCCTACTTTACCGTCGGCCTAGCTAGAGCCCGGAACCCGGGGTTACCTTGGTCTCTTGATTGGCTAATGATTTTCTCAAGTCGAATTTGTATTCATATAATTCTACGTAAAGCGTCTTTAAAAAAAATAGGAATGTGTTTATGAACAGCGTTTAATGGAATGGTGAAATAGAAAAAGATAGTGTTTGATAAATGTTTATCTTTATATATGTGGAAAACCTGTGGGAATTTGTGAAGTGCTCACGCACAATTTCGGTGCGTCTGATTAAGCGATGATATCTTCGTAACTACGTTAGCACAAAAAAGATAAGTAGTGAAGTCAATCTTACTGTATGTATCTCACTTATTAGGCTTGGTGGTCCCACCGGCGACGACCACACGGCGGAGATTCCACTGGGATCGCCGCCAACGCCGCTCTGTCAATCGCGCCCGAATAATTATAAAACATGATAATTTTAACTTCTACTTATGTAACTAAAACCAATATCAAAATATTGACGTCTTACTTTAGCCTTACACAAAACTGAGGAAACATCCATTGCTAAAATAGATTATTTAGGATAATATATCATGAATTTTAAATGGGAGATTATATCGATACTTTTGTGGAATGGTACGTAACTATGCCATTTTGACATATTATTGTAAACAACATTTTTTTCCTAAAACTGTCTCACAGACAGAAATAGAAGTAGATATATATACTTTGGCAATAGATTCAAGTATCCGTAACATTTTTTTCTATCTATGTGGATTATTCTAAGTAATATTTGATGAAAACTGTTTACTAACCTATACAAAGACAATTGAGGTTGATTTTCGTTCTTTTTTGCACCACACTGCACAATACAATACACAGGCATATTGTATTTTTGTTTCACTATATATATTAGAAGTTTAAAAAAATGGTTCTTTGTAATTTACTGGAAAACCGCAATAATTTAAAACATAAACAACCGTTTGACAGCACAACTACCATGAAACTCAGGTACTCTGAGCGCTTAAGATGGCGGACATGGCACTTACCTACAACTTTGCTAATGTCAAAATGATTTGTTGCCATAATAAGCAACAACTTAAATATTGTTGTCCCTTTTGTCTAATACAATTATTGCCTAAGAAAGAGTGAGAAAAAACTATATTTCATAGTTTGTTTCATATTTCACTCATATTTGTATAAGCATGTATACTTCTTTATTAACACGGCGCCTCTATATATTTTCTATCTCAATGCATAGTCTTGACTTGGATCTGCCACTTATAAGCCAAAATATAAGCAGCAATTATTTAGAAAGTTTTTAAGTATGAGCCTACTTCGGCACAAGAGGGTAGCTTCGACCGAAGTGATACCACGGCCTTACAGAAAACCATCATAAGACAATCATAGCGTTACGTTTCACTGTGTACAGCGGTCGACGTATCTTGGCGAGTCTGAAGTTAGCCGTTTGTATGCGCAATCAACAGAACAGAAGGCAACAGAAGCCCTATCCTTCCCTTCTCCAATGACTAAATGCCCAAAAGTCCATATCCTGATCCTCAACAGGCAGCGCACTTGCAACTAGTACATGTTATCACTTATACTGGTTGCTAGTTAGCCGCCGTATTACATAAAATAATAACTGAAAAATTTAACAAACTGATACTCAATTTTAATGCAAGAATGTACTGTATCAAAGACAAAGTTTTTACATTGGTCTCATTGCATTGCTTGATCAGGAAAAATAAAATATTATCTGTCTGTCTTTGTCTCTTGTCAATACAGCAGCTGACTGATAAGGTATTTTGTTTTTGCTCGCTTTATCAACTTATTAAAAAACCAAAAAAATACACAAATTATTCATTTAACATTTTTTACATGTAAGAAACCTAAGTCTATACAATGCTCGCCAGGTTTGTGAATTCTTTGCCGACTGGCATATCGCAGCGAATCACCAAGCTGTATTTTCAAGGTACTTTTCATATGTATTTTTCAAATTCAAAATTTATCTGACAATGTTTGGTTATTCTAAATTATTCTCCGTAATCTATGAAGGATAAAAGTAACCTGGCATAAAGTAAAAGATTATTTTAAATTTGATTAAAGTAAATAATATCTTATGAATATAGTTTTATTGTTTTTATTTATTATAACATTTTGCTCTTACAACATAAAAACTGCAGATATGAAAAAGTATAACAAATTGAAATCACGCAAAAGTAAAAGTTGTAAATATAATATTTTATAATATAAAATAATATATACTTAGTCAACATTTCATACAAAAACTTATCATTCTGAGATAAGATAATATAATATACCTATGTAAATAAATAATTGTAAATATTAGGCTAGCAAGCTTGCTAAGTAGGATTTGCTGTTATAGGTTTTATTAAATAATATGTAGAAAAAGGTTTAATTACTGTATTAACATTTTATAGACCTGTTACTGCTAAGAACTTCACAATAAAGTCTAACATATCACTTAGTACCTATACACAAATTCCAATTTATTTCATATCTTTCCCATTGCCATGGTGCAGCAGTGCCTGTACATATTATGTTGAAATCTTCATTATAGTATATGTCAATAGTAGTACAATGTGTTACCCTTCATTATAGTGTAATTATATTGACATAAACATTAATTGTTACTTTCAGTTCTAGTAAGGAACCAGCGAGAGTCCCACAGCTGCCAAGAACATCACCAGTACACCAACATGGATGTAAAAATATTACCTGCTCTAAAGGACAATTACATGTACCTGCTTGTGGATAGGGCCACTAATGAGGCTGCAGTTGTTGATCCGGTGGAAACAAAAACTGTCTTACAGGCTGTTCAAGATCACCAAGTTAAACTCACTACGGTCTTAACAACACACCATCATTGGTGAGTGCAAAACATTGTATAAATTTGGCACAACTGATATCTGATCCTTTAATTTCAAAGTGTCTTGCTATGGCCATGACAAGAATTTAATGGAAAAAATTACAATGAAGGAAATTATTACATAGTAGGTGTATTATAAGTCAGTATTACATATTTACAGATTTTTTATGAAAATAACTTAACCTAAATTATTTGTTTAGAACTTGCAGACATCACCTATAAAACTGTTTTATCTGTTTGGTGAGAATAATAAGACTGTTATCATTTTCCAGGGATCATGCTGGAGGCAATGAAGAATTAGCTAAACAAGTTCCAGGGATCGAAGTATATGGTGGTGACGACCGTATTGGTGCACTGACTAAGAAAGTGGAGCATAACACTATCTTCAATGTAGGAAATTTGTTGGTTCAATGCTTGTTCACTCCCTGCCACACAATGGGCCATATCTGCTATTACGTGACTACTCCAGAAGAAGGATCAGATGGTGTTGTTTTTACAGGTAGGTCTTACTGTAACTGTTACTCTTACCCTAGTCACCGGGATGCCTTAGTTGACGCCAAAGTGCAGAGCGAGAAGAACTGTGACGCCGTCTCCTACTTTTGTGAAGCAGTTATGCTCGCAAAGAGGGAGGCGGCCCGCGTGAGGGAGCAATCCTCCTCCTCACGCCCAAGCCGTCGCAACAGGCGACACTAGCGTCGGGGATCAAGGGACGATCTCCGGCCACCATAAGCGCGGGTCTGCGGTCGGCGAGTAAGGGCAGCGCCGCCCGATCAGAACCAGGCCCGAGCGTACGGCGCGTAGCGTTCCGCGCGCCTCAAAGAGCCAATAGACCACCACAGACGGGGCCCTATAGGGCTGATGTTCAGCCGGGGTTGCGGGATAAGCGCAATGAGGCACCGCGACCTCGGCCCAGAGCAGGAGAAGGAACAGGGGGTTTTTAGTTAGTAAGAGTCTGACACTCCCTCCCGCCGGCCCTGGGCGGGAGAAGTAATTTGATGATTTTCCCCTCACAAAAAAAAACCCTAGTCACCGTGATCGATATTTAGGAACTTGTGTTAGTATAAACACTATTAATAATTTGATTTAAATTGTAGGAGACACATTATTCCTGGCTGGTTGTGGACGTTTCTTCGAAGGCAATGCTGAACAGATGTACAATGCATTTTCAATCCTTGGCAGCCTCCCAGACAATACCAAAGTTTACTGCGGTCATGAATATACCCTACAAAATCTTAAATTTGCCGCACATGTTGAACCAAGTAATGAAGAAGTTATCAAAAAAATTGCTTGGTCGGAACAGAGGCGTGAAGAGGGAAAGCCTACGGTTTGTACAAATATTTGACAGGACAGGACATGGTAAATACTCTCGACTATTTTGTTAGACCTTTTTTAACAAACATCTCTTTTTACTAGGTGCCTTCAACAATTGGTGAGGAGAAGAAATACAATCCTTTTATGCGAGTGTCTGAACTACCGGTATTGAAGCATGCTGGGGCACAGAACGCTATTCAGGCCATGAGGAACATTCGTTTAGAGAAAGATTCATTCCAATAAATAAAAAACATTTAAAATCTTACTTATGTGGACACAACTATACAAAACAATGTAAATAGTAATATTTAATTGATGTTGTTTAAATGGAGTGCCCATTGCTTCGGCATGAGTAAGCAAATAGATGGGAGTGATACAACTGTCTCACAAAAAAACTGTTAACAAAGTTTTCTTGTGTGAGTGCAGTAAACTAAGCTCAATTCCTTACATCCCTAATCCCCAAACTCAATCTTCAAAAGGCCTGCAAAGCACTTGGTAGCTCCCTGATGTTGCAGGTGTCAACTGTCGTGCAGATAGCTTACCATTTGATGTATGGTGATGATGTAAAAACTTTCAGATAATTTCATTTATATAGTTGTGTACATGAAGAAAGATTATATTTTATCACAATTTTTCGGAGTATCGGGGTATACTTAAAGTGCTTTACATTCTTTGTTAGTTTTTTTTTGTTTTTATACTGATTGTATGATAAGTTTTTATGAGAGCTGAAAATTGAACCAGTAATAAATTTTGTTGTTTTATTATGTTTTCTTTTTTTTTTTGTTTGAAGAATTTATAGTAATGAAGCTAGTTTAAAATGAAGTACTAAACAGTTTTTTAATTAACTAGCTAACTTAATATATTTTTACAATATCTAAATGTGAAATATATTGTGTAAGAGTAAATAATAAAAGGTTGTATCTTACAAAATACTGTTTAATAGTTAACCTAATCTTAAAGCTGATGATCACAAGAAAATTAAGTGCTACTATTGGCTGGTCTTGGCAATTGTCATTGTTCTTTCTTTATGTAGGCTGACATTTGTTCTGCATACTTTTCCTTTGATCTCTCGAACATTGCTACATACACCTGAAAATTCATTATAACTTTAAATTCTTACAATAAGGTGAATAATTAAAATTACCTAATGAGGAGTCCTGTTTGAGCTTTGATTAAGATGGCAAAGTAAAAATATAATAAAATTTATAAATCAAGTAGGACAGCACATAAAATGAATCTGTTTATATCTAAAAACAATTGTTAATAACAAAACTACTACTTTTTTATTTACTTAATCAAATATTATGTAATTTTAGTGTAATGTTTTTATATTGACAAAAAGCAAACTTATAATTGTTAAGTATCATACTTAAACATAGTGTTCCAGTTCCAGTAACTAAATTATATTAATATTATTCCAACAAATATACAGGAATGATAAAAGTAAATAAATAAAATGTCTTACTCTTTTCTCTTCATTATTGAGTGCTTTCCAACGTGAAGCCAGTTGTCTGGTAACCTCCTGCTTTGAAGGTTCTGATCCTAACTCAGAGTTAGCCTCGGCTACAACCAGTGGCCGCTGCTCTTGGCAAAATTGGAAGAATGCATTGCAAGGCTTTTTAGGTGCATTTGGATCTCTTTCAGGCTAGAAATAACAATACAGTATGAGTGCAAAATGATGAAACCTACAACCAAAAATTAACTGCAAACAACTACAAAACAACCGCAACTACAATGACTAATGCAATTAAAGCAAGATATCCTTAAAAATTACAAAATAGGGAATGAGTTACCTTGTCTGCTTTACTCTTTCGTTTAGGTCCAGGTTTCTTAGCACCAGCAGCATTTTGTTTCTCAGTTTGTTTAGAAACTGCTTGAGTTTTGCCACCTGCACGAGCTGGTCGCACTATCACCTCTGGTTTTGTCTCAACTTCCAAGCATGCAGTTCTGAATTGATCACCATGTTTATCTAATCTTTCCACCAATAATTTTATATCTTTCCGGTAACGTTTGGTTATTTTCTTCGCTTCATGGATTCTGTAACAATATGAGACGCTAGTTCATTCTAAAACAGCGTTTATCAACAACAATTCAATTCAAAACACAAACCTATTAATGATTCTTTCGTTATCCTGTTGTAGGACCTCACATCGTTCTAGCAGCAACTGGTATTTTCGCCTATAAATCTCCTCTTCAGATGGTAAACTAACCATATCATCAGAGTCGTCAGAAATATTCGAGTTAATCTGTTGGACTGTCATTTTAATTTATTTCACAGCTTCAAAGTTCAACGCGATCAAATTTCTTTTTATTTAGCTGTCGGCTGTCAAATACTTTTGGTTGATTTGATGTTGGTATTACTGTTAAATTCTCTGTTACACGAATTACGAATAATGTTCAATGTTTGTAAAAATCTTTATTGAACGTAAGAAATGATGTGTTTGTTCATCAATTAAATTATAAATTCAGATTTCATGACGAATAATGGAGATAGTAAATCTAAGTAGTGTAGGAAAAACTATTTTTCGTAATTAAAAATAAAGAAATTAATCTTATTTGTTCATTAATATGTTTATACAATCTGTAATCAATACCCAGCAAATAAATTGAGAGTTTAGATGTTTAGTTCGCTTTTTGTGACTTTCTTGCAAGTAGCAACTCTTCCCAAGGTAGATTACCAACCCTGAGAACCTAAAAAACGCTAATGGGCGGGGGGTAGGGAGCAGGGTGCGGTAAAATTATGATCGCGCGAAATGCGATTTTCCTTTGGACTCTGTGTCGATTCCACAGCGATTGCGCGCATCGTGATTCGTTCAGATTCCAGAGAAAATTACATCGATCGATCGCTCGTAAACACTGCTGGTTAGAGTGTTTCTTACATGTGAACGATGCAGTAGTTCTACTATGCATATCAATATTCATTAGCTAAAATATCATGTAACAAACAGTGATACACAGTATTATATTTTAGTTGTTTCAATTAAATGTATTTGTTTAAAATGAAGAGTGATATGGATTTCGTATATTGACGAAAGAAAAAACAAAACACTACAAATGAATCCGGAAAACAGCAATGAGATGGATACCAGTTTTATCAAAGCGAACTTTGTTTATTTGTTTCATATTGTTATTTCTATTATATTTATTTTATGCTTTGAATACTTGTTTAGTTGACGAAAACAGGGTAAGTGTTGTGTAGTAGACGCTAATAGGTCTCTTTAATTAATTACCTACTATTGAAACACTTATTCTCACATTATTTTCAGTTTACTATAAAATACATAATATTAAAGCAGCACATTACAAAATACAAGGAAGCTAGCGCGCGTTTGGCTTCGTTTCTTGGATTCCATACTGACGAAAATTATAAGTATAGACATTTGAATCAAAATCAAGTACCGGTAAAGAGACTACCCGATGCACTTATTATAGGCGTTAAGAAATGTGGAACCAGAGCTTTACTGGAGTTCCTAAGGTAAGTCATTGCATAGTAAATATTGTATGAGTATTATATTCGCCTTCAAGGTGCAAGTAGGTACCTACCTATCATAATAGGCGTTATAGGCACATATAGGTAATACCCACCTAATGGCTCTGGAGTTTAGAGATATGCCTGTCTTTTGACCATTTTCGCCTAAACGCAAATTGTGTTTTTTTTATTATATCAGAGGTCTTAAGCGATTGAAACATTACTGCCAGCCCTGTGATGGTCAACTTGGACAAACTGACAAACATAGAGTCGAACGTCATAAACGTAGCTATAAAACTCTAGACTCTATGTGACTCTAGACACTGGCTTCTTATAAGTGTTTAGAAGATTCTGTGAATGGGCGACTCCTACACAGGCTTAAACTAAGTAGGTACCGTCGTCGTTACCGCCCGTAACAACGATGGTTGTTTAAGTAAAATGAGAAAGAAACAAAAAAAATTGTTTAAATAATTTGTCCAAAAACCCCGAATACCAGAAAGAGCGCCTTTCGAAGCCTTCGCTTTTATTCCTATAGTTATTTAAAAAAATGTGATTACGTTTTGTTTCGAATCATAATTTTTCGTTGTTTTTATTCTCATTACCTACTTCTGTTTCTGCAGTAAATATTTATAAGTATCTACTTAATAGGTATTTTGATAACCTTTGATTTTTATGTTTTTTCAGATTACATCCTGACGTGCGAGCAGCGGGGTCGGAGGTTCACTTCTTCGATAAATTTTATCATAAAGGCTTTGAATGGTATAGGTAAGATAAAAAACACGCTCTAAATATAGAGATGCTTTTCACATTATTTTTTTATATTCGCGCTCTGCTCGTTTAGTTTTACCTCATGTAGAAAACGATGCAACTATAATTCACAAAGCACGAAACGTCGTGTCAAAAAAACGTAACAAACAAAAAAAGTTTGGAACTCTTATCTCACTCAACTCCCACAATGTCCCGCAACATCACCCATATAGGGGACCTAGTCCTCTTATAGACCTACATGGGAGGTGTCACGGTGCAACGCCTAATACGGCACATCCTTATGAAGGTTGCCCAACCTGGGAATCACACGTGAGGCATCTGGCTCGGGTGTTGCGACCACTCACCGAATGATCCAGCATTTATTTTTGCCTAGAACTAGCAAGTAAGCTTACTTAGGTAATAACAGTTAATGTGAACTTCTAGGGACAGAATGCCCCCAACTCTTGATGGCCAGATTACGATGGAGAAAACCCCATCATACTGGGTGACGAGGTCAGCTCCAAAACGTGTGTACGCCATGAATCCAAGCGTGAAACTCCTGGCGGTAGTACGAGATCCAGTCACTCGAGCTATCAGTGATTATACGCAGTCAGCCAGGTAATTTGTAACCGCACGTATGAAATTATTGAAAATAACAAATGAACTGAAAAGCCTCTAAGTAAGTACTAGTTTCAAGTCACAACGGGTCTCTTATTTACCTATGAGTACTGTGCTGGACGTAGAGCTAGTTACTAGAGATTTTTACTATTAAATAAACAACATTTATATTTACCCTGTACCTACAGGCTGAAAGCTTACCAATTCGTCCGTCTGGTGCCGAAATAGATACATCAAAATAATTATCAGATTTTTAAACCATAACGCCAGTATAATGTAACTCTCTATTCATGGTCCATGCAGGTAATAAGGGGCAAACTGGCTCCACGCACAATGTGTACATTGTTTTTCAGCTAGGAAGTGCCCACGCTGTGTCCACCCTAATCAATATTTTTTTTATGAGATAAGGCGACTAACGAGCTTACGGATTATCTGGTGGTAAGCAAATGCTATGCCCATGGACACCCGCAATACCATAAGAGTTACGAGTGCGTTGTCGACTTTTTTGGGATTAGCGTTTCGGATATTTAAGGATTGAGGATTTGGGGAGTTATGGGGAGGGAAAGGATTGGGCGACCGGTGACTGAGGTTTCAGTCAAGCTTTGGTTGTTTCACGCCGGTTTTTTGTAAGGCCGTGGTTTCACTCCACGTCTCATTCGTGTCAAAGCGCTCTCCAACACATAAGAAAAGTAAAAGTTAAATATTCATCTCAATCTTTTACACAGTAAAAGACCATCACTCCCTCGTTTTGAAGACTTGGCTCTGGTGAACAGCTCAGCCGGTTGGGGAGGATCACCGTCGGTGGTAGATGCATCATGGCCACCAGTAAGGTTGGGAGTTTACGCGAGGCCACTGCGACGCTGGTTACGAAGGTTCCCGAGACAGAAGCTGTTGTTGATCAGTGGAGAAAGATTGGTAGCCGATCCCGCCGCAGAAATGGCAAGAGTACAGGTAAAACTAAAAACATGTTATGTTAATCCATGGTCTGTCAATAATGCTTTCATTTTCCATGCTCCCTTATCAGACTTTATCCTATTATCTCCTCTTTTGCTCTCATATTTTTTTCTCTTCACTCAAAATTGGAGATGCAAAGTCGTACCTACCTTAGTGTTAAATTTCAAAGTGGTGATCCTCGGAAAGGAGGATTTAGGGAGCACATGAGGGAACTATCCTCCTCACACCCCAGCCGCGGCACTGGGAGACATTCCGGGCGTCGGAGATCGAGCAACGATCACCGGCCACCGTAAGCGTGGGTCTGCGGACGGCATCGCTGCTAGATCAGAGTCAGGACCCGACCCGAACGTAGGTACGGCGCGAAGCGTTCCACGCGCGCCTTATGAAGCGTTTAGACTACCACAGATGGGGCCCAACAGGGTCGATGTTCCATGTACCGGTGTTGAATTTTAGTCAGTAAAAGTCTGACAATCTCTATCGCTTCACGCTGGGCGAGAAAAGACATTTAATGAATTTCCCGCCTAAAAAAAGTGTATTTGAAAATACTTGTATTTATACTTGTACCTAAGTTTTATAGTGTTTCATAGATATTTCAAATTAAAATATGTTTTTTTATTTTTTTCAGGAATTCTTGGGCTTAAAACGAGTAATAACAGAAAAGCACTTCTATTTCAATTCAACTAAGGGCTTCCCTTGTTTACTGAAGTCCGAAAGTCGGTCTACTCCACATTGCCTAGGCAAGACTAAAGGTCGGAGTCATCCACATATAGATCCTAGAATTCTAGAAAGACTGAGAGACTTCTACAGGCCTTTCAATGAGAGATTTTACCAGTTGGCTGGTATGAATTTCGGTTGGCCTTGATATGTTGTGATTTTCAATTATTGTGGTATACGGTTTGAAGAGAAATAAGAAGTATTGTGTACCTAAGGGGTAAGAAATTGCAAGCTTAGTACTAGGTAAATATCAGGCACAGTGCACTATAAGAGCCCTCCTAAAAACGCAACTTCTCAAAGCTTACTTGAGGTATATTTTTCCAAAACTAGTATATTGCCTTTAAAATAACAGCCAGACACTTTATGCTTAACCACGTACGTAAATACCGCAACTTCCTACAATGTGATATTGTTAATTTAATAATAATATAATTTAAAGAGAGTTTACCTATTTAGTTGTTATAACCAATTTGAGGCTGAAAGGCGTAGAAATAATGTTGGATAATTTTGTTAATTAATTTTACTAAAGACTGTTTTTTTCAATGGTTAAATAAAAGTTAGCGCGTCAGAATTTTTGTATAAGACAATGACAGCAACAATTTTTTTCTAATAACATTTATGTGACTATTGAAAAATCAGCCGTAAATGTTATTGTTTTTAATTATTGCAAATTTAAATGTAAGATGACGGGTACCAACTGAAGTACGGTACCTTTATAAGTTTATATTTGTTGTAAAATAACGTTATTAAACATATTTATTTGTTTATATTATGTAAACTAGGTATTTGAGAAAAATCCAATAAGGCCTTGGGTAGATGAGAAATAACTGAGATTTATAAATAGTGTGAGATAGGTACCTACCTACTCTCTGCAAGTTATACTATAGGTAGACATAGTTTCAAAGCATCTTAATAGACAACACATAAAAAGTATCTACCTAGTCTGAACAGGCCAGAAAATGATGAGATACTAAATTGTATCTAATTGTAACCACATAAGAATAAAATTCGCATACAAGTTTAAAAGTTGTAAGTTGCTTATTAGTTCCTAATTATCATTCCTTACTGATGTGTTCCATTAAATATCATTTTCTGGAGATCACTTCATAATTTATACGATTATGAAGTTATATAATTTAACGTACTGTTAGTACCTATGCTTAATAATTTAGTAAAATAAGAAATTTTGTGAACTCGATTACGTTAGTAAAGAGGTAGAATACTTAAAATAATAATTTCGATGCTAGCTTGACTTGTAGAAATAAAAAGCCTGCTATTGTATGTTGGTTGAATCCAAAATATTTTATGTCAATAAGCAATTTGCATATAAAAACAATGATCTGAGTACGTATGGTCTATCGATTTAAATGGTCAACTAAAGGTAAACAATCTTGGTAATATATCTTTTTATATTAAAGAGGTCCTACAAGATACATACAGAGAGTATTTAAATATAGGTAAATTTTAAGTTTTAATTAAAACCTGATTGTTAACATTGCTACATACAATTTGTATATAAAAAGATATGCTAAGATTGATAGCATTTAGTTAATTATTTAAACAGATAGACCAGATTCATTAATAGATTCATAATTACTGAAATGTCACCGAATAATACCGATATAAAAAGATTAATTTATAACATGAACACACTAATATTTTATTGTACCTGTCTTGCCAGTAGGTAATGTGAAATTAAAGGTTGTGTAAATTGAACGAATGAGAGATAGTTTAAGCATAACGTGCCATAACAATTTAGTTAGGAAATTAAAATTATATAGACTAGACTAGATACAATTTTGTACGAAATAATGCTATAACAAACCTCCTCGATGATAAACAATGATACGTTGATAAACAATGATACTTACAAAAAAAAAAAAAATGTTATTGAGCGTCTACATCTCGCGGATTTACAAGAGGTTTTCATACCTAACACATTCGCCAGATGTAAGCTTACCAATATGACAGACTCAAAATTTAATTATAGTTTTTAATTAAGTTTTTTTCACTTCATGTATAAAAATCAGTGCCTCTTCAAAAGGATGGATTAGGATTTTTCTGTTTTTGTTGTGAGGAGATATTAGGATAGAAAATAAGCGACGTAGTCATAGTAACATTTGCACTGAGCCCTCCAAATCACATGTGCCATGTAACTGCTTACTAGAATAGATAGCTAATATAATAATAAGGCTGTTTTGAAAGTAATTTAAATAAAATACACATTAAGCATTGAATTTGTTTTACTTTTAATAAATAAGGCATCACATACTGTTTAAAACGTTTGAAATTTCTCGAGTAGTTAGTTATTTTCCTGTAAATTACACCTGCTACAAGCAAGTAGGTAGACTAACCCCGGTTTCCGACAGGCCGATCAATTTTAAAATCAATTTAATCTCTTGTCAAGTCATGTGATTGGTTGACTGAATTATAAACAATCAATCAGATGACTTGAAAAGAGATTTAACAGGAGATAAGTTAATTTTAGCGTTGACAAGCCTTTCAGAAACCGGGTGTAACTCTTATCCTGCAATGGACATTGTGATGCGGCAAGTACACTAGTATAAACATGACTTTGTCCACTATTAATTCGATAAAATCAATTAAGATTTAGAAGAATTCGATTATATCTACGTGGGAAAATACTTATTAATAATAAATAAAAAAATCTATGGAGAAGATTACTTCAGATACCATTGTAATTTTAAAATTCAAAGTTCGATATTTCATTAAACAAAATAAACGGTCAAGTTCTTTTAAATCATGCATATATATAGTCCAGGTTTAAAAGATATAAAATGTTTAATGTTAGTGAAACTACTCGACATTTTACGATTTCAAAATTGATGTTTTATTGGTATTCATTGTAAGATTTTATTTGATTCTAAAAAAATATTGCTATAAGACGCAACAAGTTACACTTGCTACATAACTTTTAGTGGTTATAAATTTAGCCTTATTTGATGTAATCAAGTAAGTAACAACCATTTGAAATTATTGTTTTGGCGTTTTTATATACAACACAACAGTGTTTAATGAAATTTTTACAATAATCTACAACTTATTTTTATAAAAGCATACATAAACATTAAAAAAGCAATCACTGCTTGTTACAATTTATAAGAACATTTCAGTAAACATCTTATATACAAAATATACAGCTTATACTAAATCATTGTTGGGAACATATATGGGCAAGTCTATTGGATTGAGTTGTATATAGGAGACGGATCCTAGGCCAACTACTGCAAATACGATTGGTACCTCGTCATTGTATTTTGAATGCAGTGCAATTACATGCGACGCTGATGGAACTCCTGCTGATTCGCTGGAACAGACATATTGAAATATTTTTTTATTTTAGAAATATATGGTAAGATGGCTTAGACATGTCGAGAAGAAAGAATAACGTAGTACTTAAAGTTATAGGTAATATTACTAGAGGAATGCCTTAGGTCATCAAGATCATAAATAGAGAGAATCTGGAAACTGGAATTTTCAACTTTTAACGACGTGCTTGATTTGAGAACTACAAGTGCAAATTGAATTATACATACGACTTTTTGCGAATTGTATGGTTTTTCTGAGATTATTTTTAGGAACCACTGACATGAAGGAAAAGATAGCGAGGAAACCTGGACTTATAATTTTTAACTAAAAGTTTGAATCGAATCAAGGTAGATCCTTGAGCAAGTATGGTGATTTATGCTCAAAACTTCTTGAGCAATTCTTATTCAAGCAATGGTAAGGGGTATAGGTTGACGAATTCTTGGAATAATTACAAATATTAAAAAAGAAATACTTACTCAATACAAACGATTCTGAAATGCGGCTTTGGTGGTTTTCTTTTCCTATAATTCTGTACATCTCTATTGTATACATCGAAATCTATTTTAAGACTAGTTTGATTATCTGTTCCTTGATTATTTCTTATAATTCTTAGCTTTTCTAGTGCTTTCGACATATCTGAACTGTCCTCAAAATCTATTAAAGGTTTCAAACCCGTATTTACATCTATGTCAGCTAGTAGCCGTTCTCGCTCACTATTCATTTGATTATTAGTTTCTTCTAAATACTTAAAAAAGGATATTTTAGCTTCTAACCAGTTAGAATATTGTTGAAGTTGGTCTTTCATAAATTCCTGTAAATATTGCTCTTTGCTATTGACTAAAAGGCGCGTATTCATATCGAGTTTAGAAACAATTTCAGCTCTACCAAAATCATCTTCTTTTGGCAGCCATTCTTCTTTAAACGTTTTTAGTAAATGATCACTATATTTGTTATTGTCAACTTTTTTGTTTTCTCCTACGTTAGACTCCGCTTTACTGACTTCTGACACAACGGCCTGACTCGTGCTTGGGCCATTAAGAGCTGATAACTTCTCAGAACGTCGTTTTAAAATATTGAACGGATTTCTTAACTTTTTCCTCTTTGGTGCAGGTGCTTCTTCAACTACACAGTCAGATTCAGAACTAGAATCCAGTGTAATACATTTTCTATCAATGACTTCATAATTATTAGTGTCTAAATAAATATCCGCTTTGTAAGACTGATTGAATGTCTTGATTGCCTTGGAGAATGCTCTTCTGTGAGAAGCTGTTGCTTTGTCTTTGGATTCCAGTTCTCTCAGTCTCAAAGCCAACTGTTTCAGTCTATACAGATTCTCATCAAATTTATCATCACCATCTTCTAATCTAGGCCTTTTACTTCTTGATTCTTCATCATCATCCAATTCTATTGTTTCAATAATTTTCTCTTCGTTGATTACATCAAAATTTTCACTTAATCGTAATCTTGTTTTATACCTTGTGTTATACGAGTGTAAAATATTGTGTAGCTCTTCAAGTTTGCGCATGTCCGTGACACCAGATATGAGACTTTGTTTGAGTCGAACCGCGGCATTTCTTATAGCTTGGAAGTGTGCTATGTTACAAATTCTTAACCGTTTTCTTGCATCACTGGCGTTAGGGCTGAATTCATAAGATCTTGAGAAAGGTGGTGGCCTCTGATTATATTGAAAACGTGTTTGGAAAAACATTAATTGGTAAAAGTTTATGCTGTTTTGTGGACGCCAAAATCCGTAAGGTCTGAATTGATACCTAGGAAGACGCATGTTCGGGATACATTGTTGATTCCTAGACAATTCGGTTCCTGAAGAGCTTCTTATACGTCTTATATTCCTTCCATTAACTTCGTCGGAGCTGGAATAAGAAGCGGTTTCGGACGAAGCGGAACGTCGAGATCTCGCTTTTATATTTTGCATATCCAAAACATAGTTTTCTTTATTTACAAAAACATTTTTCGGTATGAACTGTTGATCAGGCACATTAATGGCAAATACACGTTGCTTTGATAGATCAGGAATATTTTCAAAATAAGTTTGGATGTTTCTTGAGTCACTTGGTTTCATTTGCCTTTTACTCATTTTGTCTATTTTGCTTACGTAACTATAGGCTGACTGTTTATAGTTATGTTGAAACTTCTTAATTTGTACGTCAATATTTGAATCGCTTTGGCTTGTGTTCATTGATACCTTTTCATCAAGATTCTCTTTACTTTTAACTGTTTCTGGAAAAAAAATACACTTAAATACCACTTCTTATGCTATAATCATGCCAGTTTCACATTTTAAGTATGTTCTTTGTTGAAACAATGAACAATGAATTTATTTTAGGCAATAAAATAGCACGTTTACACGTCAAAATATATTGAAAAATCTAGATGAAGCCGGCATTTTCTACCTGACTACTCTGAAAAGAAATGCCGAAACAAACTCATCGGTCCGTCTCTTTTCAAGTTCAGACAATGTAAAAAATAATATAATGTGCGAGGACCGTGCAAGTTCATTCCATAGTGGTCTTTTCAGGGAAGAACCACAGCAGTTTAAATGGGCCCGTTTTAAAGAAAGGCATGAAGTGTTAGTTTATAACCATATTACTAACGGGTGTTGCTAAGTTGTCCGAACTTTATGTTACAAACATGTCAACATCTATATGTCACATTACGTAATGTCAAACTGTATATAAAATGTTGTTACTTTATATTACAAACATGTCAACATATGCAGACGCAAGACGCACGCAACACCTATGCAGACGTTACAGCGGCTCATTCCCAAGACTGACTATCTTCTAAATAGTGTTTTATTTTATAAAATGCTTTACAGTAAAGTTTATGCTTTATGAAACCTTGGAATATATTTTATTAGCTCAAATTTTGAATGTCGCCAGGAATTTTACTGTAAAAGCGCATACATTGACATCTTAAGGAACCACTAATTTTCTGAAGCCTGGAGGTGGGAGCTTTATATTTGTTTTTGCCCTCGTGTTAATATTTTGTATGTCACTATACTTCTAAAATTGTCTTTTGTTTTTATGAGCGTGCCTTAGATTTTCATAAATATATTGACAGCTAAATGCGTATATTTTAATTTCCTTAACATTTGGTGGTGCTAGTTTTATACATTTAGTTTTGGTTTTATTTAGTAATAAATTATTGGCACCAAACCAGTGTACTGTTTCTAAAAGAGCAATGTTTACGTTGTCAATAACTGATTGTCGCCGTCTGATTATGAATAATAGTGATTATCATCAGCAAACAGCACTATCTCATGTTTATCCCTAACAAGGTAAGGCAAATCATGTATATAAATACTGTTACGTGCCTGACGTCACGTTCCTGACTATGCGGGCTTGGGTTACGGGATTGGATGAAATGAAACACTAATACCGGTTTTCAGACTTTCTATTGCGCTTAAGTTACAGCGTCCACGGAGTTAAGTTATCGGCGTTCCTCTCCAGCAGAGTCCGGCCGACTGACACAACTTTGCCGTTCACGCTAACTTCACTTAACTGACTGCACTTCACTATTTCACTGCACTTCACTATTTCACTCACTTTTCTTCTTTTTCACTTCTTCCTTTTCTTCCGAATCGCTTTAGACTTAGAACTCAACTGCCAGCGGTGAGCCGCAGTTCCGCTTATATACCCCCGGTCAGGTTCTAGAACATTCAATTTCGTTATTCTTTTTTGATCGTCATGCCTCCAGAACCTTCCAATAATTTCGTTATTAATTTTTATTTATTCTCCTTCTCGCTCCTTAATTTTTCATTACTTTCACTCAAATATTCCAGAAAGTTCGACAAAACTTCCATCAACTAAAAAACTTCATGTTTACGGCGGGACTCGAACTCGGGGTCTCTGTGGTGTAATCCACACGCCTTACCGATTACACCAACTCTTGTTGACAATTCACGACGAAATTTACAATCTCTAGGCAACGTTTGACAACCATCCATTGACGTCATGATGTCAAAGAGTTTTCTGTCACACTGCCCCCCTCTTAGATTCGCTCGTCCCGAGCATCGTTGCTGCCGTAATACCTCGCCAACCTGTCTATATGGACAACTTTCAAAGGGCTCCTTGAAGACTTCCGAATTCTGTAAGTAATGTCATTGATCTTCGTGACTATCTCGTAAGGACCTTCCCAACTCGGTTGCAGCTTTGGAGATTTTCCCTTCCTTCTGACTGGATTATGAAGCCAGACCAATGACCCCTCTTCAAACCCAACAGAATTGGCTCGTCGATCATAGCGCGTCTTTGCGCGATCACTAGCTTGAAGACCGGCCTCCCTGATCTGCTCATAAATGTCCAACATTTTTGCCCTTAACTCGCTTATGTAATCGCTAAACTCGGTGCGAGAGTCACCAGGTGGACAGCCCGATACAAGATCTGCCGGTAATCTCAATTCCCTTCCAAAATTTGCAAATGCAGGCGTCTTTGCGGTACTTTCATGTACAGCAGTCCGATAGGCAAGCAAGAAGAGAGGTATGTAAGTGTCCCAATCTCTCTGATGGCTGTCAACCACCTTTGCTAAGTGTCGCTCCAATGTTTGGTTGAAGCGTTCGACCATTCCATCTGACTGTGGATGATAAGGGGTCGTTCGAGTCTTATGGATTCCCAAAAGTTTACAAGTTTCCTGGAAAACTTGGGATTCAAAGTTCCGTCCTTGATCACTGTGCATCTCCAAGGGCACTCCGAATCGGGTGAATACCTCGTTTACCAACTTCGTGGCTACAGTTACTGCCTCTTGATTCGGTATGGCAAAGACCTCCGGCCATTTTGTAAAATAATCCATAACCACTAAAACGTAGCGATTGCCCGAATCAGTGATTGGAAATGGTCCAGCGATGTCTAAGGCTATTCTCTCCCAAGGCATACCAACATTGTAGATTTTCATCGCCCCTCTGCTTCTTGTTTGTGGACCCTTGACAGCTGCACAACTAGTGCATTTCCGGCACCAATCTTCGACGTCATATTTGCAATGCAACCAATAAAACCTCTCCTTGATCTTCACCAAAGTCCTCCTAATTCCCAAATGTCCTCCAGAAGATCCATCATGGAACGCTTTTAATACATCCCTTATTTTTGAACGAGGCACCACCAATTGCAAATGCTCGTCCTTGCCGTTTGTTGATTCCCATTTCCTGCACAGAAGTCCGTTATGCAGCGTAAGGCTTTTCCACTGTGCCCATAAACCTTTCGTTACCGCGCTATATTGGGCGACGTCACTCCAACTTGGCTTGTTACCACTTCGTAGCCACTCCAGTATTGGTTTAATATCTGCATCTCTTTCCTGTTCTAATTTCATCGCATCATCTCCCCATGCCTCGTCAACAGTATCAGTCCTTATCACCTTAAGAAAAGCAGTTTCCTTCTTGGCACAATGCTTGCAATCTTCCACGCATGGGCGTCTCGATAATGCATCTGCGTTGCCATATTCTTCCGCCGCGATGTTCGATTTCAAAGTCAAATTCCTGAAGTTGTTCCAACCATCTGGCTACTTGGCCTTCGGGATCCTTAAACTGAAGCAGCCATTTCAAAGCAGCGTGATCAGTTCTGATCAAAAATTTCCGTCCCAGTAAATACTTCTTGAAATGGTGCAGAGTTTTGACTACGGCCAGCAATTCCCTCCTGGTCACGCAATAATTCTTCTCCGGCTTGGATAGTGACTTGCTGAAGTAAGCAATAACCTTCTCCTGCTCACCATCGCGTTGTGAAAGGACACCTCCTATTCCAATATTGCTGGCATCCGTATCAACTACGAATATTCCTTTCGCGCTGGGGTATCCGAGAATTGGTGTGTTACAAAGCCGTTCTTTTAGTTCTCGAAAGGCTTGCTCACAATCCTCGTCCCAGATAAAGGCACGTTTCTCCTCTGTCAATCGATGCAAAGGCTTGGCAATGTCCGAGAATCCTTTCACAAACCGCCGATAATACGAGCACAATCCAAGAAATGCCCGAACTTGCGTTTTGTCTTTAGGTGTTGGCCATTCCTTAACAGCGGCAGTCTTGGCTGGATCAGTCTCAATTCCTCTCTCAGAAATAACATGTCCTAGATAATTCACTTCGCGCTTGAAGAAAGAGCATTTCTTTGGACTCAACTTTAAATTTGCTCCACGCAGCTTATCGAGTACCTTTTCCAATTTCCTTAGATGATCGTCAAAATCCCGTCCAACAATGATGATGTCATCGAGGTAAACTAGGCAGGTTTCGCCCAGCAGTCCCGCCAGCACCTGTTCCATCAAACGCTCAAAGGTTGCCGGTGCATTGCATAATCCAAATGGCATCACCTTAAATTGCCAGAGTCCCTTCCCAGTTGAGAATGCGGTCTTTTCCTTGTCCTTGGGATCCAAATCCACCTGCCAATAGCCGCTTTTCAGATCGAGCGTTGAAAACCATTTCATGCCACTCAGTGTGTCAAGTGTGTCATCGATTCTTGGTAACGGGTAGCTATCCTTCTTGGTTACATCATTCAATCGTCGATAGTCTACGCAAAACCTCGTTGAACCATCTTTCTTCTTGACAAGCACGACAGGTGAACACCAAGGGCTAGAAGAGGGCTCTATCACGTCATTTTTCCTCATATCGTCAATCATTTCTTCAACCTCTTTCTCACGAGCGAATGGTACGCGTCTGGGCCTTTGACGAATTGGCATTGTATCACCTGTGTTTATTTTATGCTTCACCAAACCAGTTCGGCCAATATCACCATCGCTTCTTGAAAACACATCAGAGAATCGAAGAAGTAAATTTCTAGCTTTCATAGTCTCCACTTTTGTCAGACTTTTGTTTTCGTCTAAGATTTTCGTTACAAAGTCTATTCCCGTACTGTCCTTCTTCACAAGATTCTCCGAGCATTTTCTTATCCAGGCCACTTCTTCCAATACGCCCACAGGCTCTCCTTCTTCAATCGTAATTTTTGAATCACTGAAGTTGAATACCGGAATGCGGTTGACATCAGATGACCCCACGACAGTTCTCGCCGGTAGCCATGAGTTTACGTGTTCCGATTTATCAATCACAGCGCACCTTAGAGGTAAACTTCCTTCCCTCCTCCTAGGTAATGCGATTGGTACGAGAGTCTGTGATTTTGGTTCAAGAACAGTTCTTCTTAAACAGCAAACTTTTCCCAGGGTTCCACCCTTCATCGGAATTTCCTCAGTTCCACATAGTAATACTCCAGATTTTAAGTCGATGTTACACTGGTGCCCTTGCAGGAAGTCAAGTCCCAGGATGCAGTCATCCAGAATTTTGGCCACAATAACCTCATGTCGATAAACACGTTCCCCAATTTTGATTGTTACATGCAGTTTTCCACTTATCGGTATGCACTGGCCGGTAGCTGATTTCATTCGTAGGCCAACAATTGGTTTAACGTGTTTCCTGATGTTTTGCCCGAGCAGCCGAACATTTATCACCGTCCTTGAAGCTCCAGTATCTAATGTTAGCTGACTGTTTTTCCCATTTACTTGACCGTCTATGACCAGAGTATTTCCATCGTTAGTTTGCTTGATGTAGATTGTTGGGGTTATTCCACTACCGGCCAGCGCCCACCCCGCAGCCCTGGCTGGATTTAGTTTCCCTGCTGGTCAGAAGTTGAGACCGCCGCGTCCTGGCGGTTCACCTTCTTCGGGCAGTCGCTCCGCATGTGCCCACGCTCTCCGCATCCATAGCACATGAAGTTCCGACGGCGTGGAGGTACCTGCTCCGTTGTCGTCATTTCCCGCAGACGTAAGGTACGGGAGTTACCACGCACGGCTTCCACTTCCAATGCATGGGCCAGAGCTTCTTTCATGTTCTTGTGATGGCCCAGATGAACAGCAGCTCGTACTTCGGGGTCCCGAACACCGTCAATGAATGCTTGGAGAAGCGTGCCTTCAATCATTGATGGAGTCGACCAAAAAGCTCGACGCACAAGTTTCTCGATTTCCACGGACCATTGCTGTAGACTCTCATTAGCACGCTGAGTACGCTCTTTTAATTGCGCTCTGTACACGTGCTCGAGGTGGCTGTCTCCAAAACGTGCCTCAAGTGCGTCGAGGAGGGTACTAAAGCTGAGATCCCCACTTGCGCCGATAGCTTCCAGCACTGAGAGCGCTTGATCACGGAGGGCCAGGGTGAGGGCTGACTGTGCTTCCTTCTGAGTCCAACCATAAGCCTCCATAAGTGTCTCAAACTGTAGCTTGAACGCGGTCCAGGATGTTGTTCCGTCGTAATGGGGAATCTTCAGCCCTTTCGTTGCGCTTGAGGCCGCATTTGGGGCGTCAAAAACGGCTGCAAGACGGCTTCGGCTCTTCAAAGGGCTTGGGCTTGTCACTTCCTGCTTGATTTTGGAGATCTCTTCTTCCACTCTCTCCTCTATCGCCATGACGCGATGTTCCAACTTGCCTAAACCTTCCTCCACTTCTTGTACCCGTTCGACAGCCTTTTGCAGTCCCTTCGTGAAATCTTTATGCATGTCCTCCAAGCGACGCGCTTGCTCCTCTTGGCGACGAGCTTGATCTTCTTTCAGCTCCCGCAGCTGTTCTGACTGACAGCGTGCTTGCTCTTCTTGGCGGCGCGCTTGCTCTTCTTGGCGGCGCGCTTGCTCTTCTTGGCGGCGCGCTTGCTCTTCTTGGCGGCGCGCTTGATCTTCTTTCAGCTCCCGCAGCTGTTCTGCCTGACAGCGTGCTTGCTCTTCTTGACGGCGCGCTTGATCTTCTTTCAGCTCACGCAGCTGTTCTGCCATCATTTGCCGCAGCTGTAGCAGAAGATCCATCTGCACAGGCTTGGCTTCTGCATCGCTGGTCTGAGCTGCAGCACCCTCTTCCCTCACACGCTGCGCTTCTGACATAGCACGGGTACTCACTCCTCTTACGTCCTGCGGCACTAGCGGCATTTTTCTCCAATCCCACTTCTGACACCAAATGTTACGTGCCTGACGTCACGTTCCTGACTATGCGGGCTTGGGATACGGGATTGGATGAAATGAAACACTAATACCGGTTTTCAGACTTTCTATTGCGCTTAAGTTACAGCGTCCACGGAGTTAAGTTATCGGCGTTCCTCTCCAGCAGAGTCCGGCCGACTGACACAACTTTGCCGTTCACGCTAACTTCACTTAACTGACTGCACTTCACTATTTCACTGCACTTCACTATTTCACTCACTTTTCTTCTTTTTCACTTCTTCCTTTTCTTCCGAATCGCTTTAGACTTAGAACTCAACTGCCAGCGGTGAGCCGCAGTTCCGCTTATATACCCCCGGTCAGGTTCTAGAACATTCAATTTCGTTATTCTTTTTTGATCGTCATGCCTCCAGAACCTTCCAATAATTTCGTTATTCATTTTTATTTATTCTCCTTCTCGCTCCTTAATTTTTCATTACTTTCACTCAAATATTCCAGAAAGTTCGACAAAACTTCCATCAACTAAAAAACTTCATGTTTACGGCGGGACTCGAACTCGGGGTCTCTGTGGTGTAATCCACACGCCTTACCGATTACACCAACTCTTGTTGACAATTCACGACGAAATTTACAATCTCTAGGCAACGTTTGACAACCATCCATTGACGTCATGATGTCAAAGAGTTTTCTGTCACAATACGAAACAAAAACGGGCCGAGAATAGAACCCTGCGGAACACCCATCTTCACAACAGACCCGGTGGAAATCATTTCGTGTACTTCAACCAATTACTCAGGTATGAGGTAAGAAGGTCCAGAGAGGCACCCCTTATCCCTTAATAGGATAGCTCCCTGATCAGAGTATCATGAAGCACACAATCGAATGCCTTGGACAAATCACAAAATATTTCCAAAGCGTTGCTTCGGTCCTCCCACGCGTCATAAATGTGATTAAGGAGTTCACAAGATCAGGAAACACACCACGGTCAATACAGTTATTATAGATTTGAGCTAAAACAGGTGCTACAATAGTTTCCTGCGGTCGGAGCGCCGGCTGCAGTGGGTCACGGGGCCCGCCTACCCGCGATACCCTTCGACGCACTGATAAGTGGAGGAACACCGGGCTGGGCTTTAGTCAGTAAGAGTCTGACAGTACCCTTCGCCTTTCCCTGAGTGCGATGGGTTTCCATGAGGATTTTCCAACCCGATACGAAAAAACAGGTGCTACAATAGTTATTACGGAGCTTGTAATATATACAGAATTACCCCATAGATCTGCAGTCTTTTTCTTATGTTAATAGAAATGATAATACTGACTGAACTGTTAATAGAAACACTAAAGTGAAGTCCCCTGATGTATGCTAATTATGTTATTGACTATTTAAAACCTAAGAAACTTACCAGGATCCACTAATACGTTTGAAGTTTCTGCGCAATTAGTTTCCTTTATAGCTGTGGTGTCTTCAATTTTATCATCACTGATTTCCATTACTGTAATACCTAGAATAAATAAGAATATTTCTTATTATTATATTCTTACATTATTTTTATTCTAATCAGTTGGAAGGTATCCATCCAGGTATCCTTCGTACGTAATGTATCATCAGCTATCCTTCCGATGTCGGGGGTAACTTTGCGATAATAGCTTTCACCCGCCGCACCCAGAGTGATAGGAGTCATTAAATGATTCTCAACCCAACAACAAAGGTATAGGTGAAGTCTTAAGGTAAATTAGAATATTATCCTACTTTTATAAGAAATGTGAAAGTTAGTTAGAATGTATAGTTAGAACATGTTTGCTATTATTTTACGCAAAAACAGCTGGACGGATATGGTAAAAATTTGGTATGTACAAAAGTAATATCTTGGCGCTTTATTAACATACCATGCGGGCGAAGCCGCGGGCAGAAGCTAGTTAATAACAAAAATGTACATACCAGAATCTGCAGTTGTTACATTTTCAGTAGAAACATCCATTCTATGTACATTATCATCCTTTGGAGGCGACATTCCTTCATTAGCTTCAGTGCTTTCATTACTAGTCTTTATTTCTTTCTCATCTACATGCAATTTGTCAGGAGATTCCTTTTCGACGCATGTTTCACTTATACCATTACATTTTTCTGTACTCTCTTGACTATCTACAGATTTACTTATTTCAATAGCAAACACTTCAGCACTTTTCCTTTGATCATCAGTGCTTTCAACGTCTTTGGAGTCAAGAGCTTCATTATCTGTGCCTACTTTTGAACTTATCTGTTCACTTTTTGAGGTATCTTTATTCTCAGCGTCTATAGCTTTATTTGTTTCAATGGAGTCGACATTTTTAACATTATCATCAACTGTTTTTAGTGATGATTCATTATTATCCGATTTAGTATTATCTTCTGATGTACTATCATTGGTGGATTGTGAATCTTCTAGTTGACTAGATACTGTTGTATCAACATGATCAACTTCTTTCACATTATGAACTTCTTGGGAATGGGATTTTACCTCAACATTCCATTTAGGACCTGCATGTCTAAATACTTTGTAGCCTACTCTACTAAGTGATGCATAAACTTGATATTGTATTCTATTTGATGAATCTAGTAATAAAGCATATGCTTTTTGTAATGACACTGTGACTTCATTGTGTTTTAGTTGTAGACAGTTCTGAAATGAAAAGAAATAATTTACTTGTTTCACTATCTAAATCAATATCATCATTATTAAGTTTCATCATCAGCAGCCTATAAGTGCCCAATGCTGAGTAAAGGCCTCTTTTAACACGGAGAAGGTTGGAGCATTAATCACTACACTTGCTTGAGGCGGATTAGCGATTTCAAACCTATAATTACAAGTTATAAGTCAAGGTATCTTCACGATGTTTGCCTTCACCATATGTCAGTGATGTCTAAATAATCACAAGAAAGTATACATGTTACTCAGAAAGTCACATTAGTACTAGCCAGGTTACCAATCCCCACCCCACAAAAACAAGAGTGGTTATGTTTCACATGATTTCAATTTACAGGAAAATTAAGTCTATGATAAATTAAATAAAGACAATATTTTGTTGTATTAAAACCACACTTACTGTTTCCATTAAAAACAATGTTTCCTCAGGATTAAGGAACAACATTTTACCAACATTATGACCCAGGTACTGCCAATGTCCACCACTCTTTTGTGTGACTTCCGCGAGCTTTAGATCATCGCGCCAAATTGCATGGCTCAGGACTCCACTGCAATTAAAAAACATTATTTATTATTAACTTAATAAAATAATGTAAACATTACATAATTAAACATTAATAAGAGCTTGCATCATATTGTTCAGACATTAAGCCACTATGTGCCTGAGAAAAGGCCTTTTCTGACAAGGAGAAGGTTTGAGCGTCAATCATTACATTTCCTCAAGGCGGATTGGTGATTTAAAACATAATTAGAAATTATAAGTCTAAGTTTCCTCTCGAAGTTTTACTTCACCATATGTCTCTAGTATCTAAATAATCATTTAAATAAATATTATGTATATCATAATTTGTAGAAACTATGTGCTAGACTAGTTTATGTTTTAAGAAACAAGTTCTTAGTATTATTTTGCAACATTCTTGTAAGAGAAATAAGTTTCATTTTTAGTTTAATTAAGTTGACTTATAATGTCAGCATTGTATTATACCAACGTGTATGTGAATGTGATAACAATAATCAACAATAACAAGTACTGATGCACAGTTGAAACTACGGGTATTATAAACTTAATGATGATAATAAAAGATATAACTACCATGAGTAAAAATTTGTGACTATTAAATCCCTGGCAAAAGCCAGTACCAATTATAATGACATACCATTTTTCAATCCTTTCAACTTCAATCAAATACTTCCGTGCCTCCAATGCAGCCTGTATTTGTTTCTGTTCAAGCCAGGAACCGTTGGGTGCAACATCTTTCAGTCCTATTTCAGGAAGAGATGCTTCTATTTTAGTTATACCTTTTGCTACTAGAGCTGCTCCCCTGAAAATTTAGATATAAATCTAATAAGAATATATATGGTAAACAAAAATAATATTTTTCTCCCTTCCATTTGGCAGAGATTGTCAGATCATAAACAAATTCTTTTTATGGTAAAGTGAGTGGTCATTGCTTAGGGAGCATGGGCTAGTTCTCCCACTTAAAGACAGCGGTTTCTACATCCACAGGCAAGTTTAATAGTTCAGCTGGTCAATTTGGTAGCAAGGTAAACAATTCTCTCAATTTTAAAATTATGAAGCTTAAGCTAAACGAATAAATTAAGCCTTATTTAGTATTACGTATATAGCAATTAATACAATAATTGCTGGCTTATGTAAATATATATTTATCACCAAAATATCTACAGATACATCTAGATTATTTAGGTATAAAGTAATATGATTTTTGTATTATATGTCATACTCTAGTAAGGTATTGTGACTTATAGGTTGAAGCATGTTATTATGCAGAACTACTTAACATTGGTTACATTTATGGACTATAATTGAAGTTGAAAAACCAGATCAAACTGCATTTTGGGTATACAAGTACTTGAGCTCCAGTTATTGACATATTAAGAAAAATACGCCTGAATGAGAATGATAAAAGAAATTCTTTGTAAATAATATTTAATATTCACAAGATTTTCAGGTCTTTTCAGGACTATTTGTGTTCTTGAAGAGGTGTACCGCAATAAGGAAAAAAACTACAGATCTTATGGGCAGAAGTAAATATTACAATTATAATTTACTTACGACAATACTCTAGTTTTTTCCATTGCTTATTTTAGTTAACACAGTTCATGACTTGAGTTTTCTTATAATTTTATACAACGAAAACAAATCCAGAGACCCAGTCTTGTGGCAATTAGCTTTTGAGTTTTTGACATTACTTTATAAGTGAATGCCGTAGAAAATATTTTCTTTATAATGTACCATCTCCCTTGTTCTATATTGCAAAACCATAGTTATAAAAGAGATAGAAAATTTGATCATGTCCAAAATCATATTTTTAGATTTTTTAGCATGACAAGGAAGAAACGCATCCGTATCGTTTCACTTGACATTTCAATTAGTATTGCCAAGTTATTAAGTCATGAACCTGGAAAATATATCATCAACAAAATAATAAACTGTTGATCGTTAATAATTCCAATAGAGCTCTCAACCAGTTAATAGCCAATAGGGAAATTTTTTGTCTTGAAATATTCGTGAAAGTGCAAGGCAGGTTTAAACGCTGAAATATACTACAATCATCAGTTTTCTTTCCTATACAATCTGCTTTGTAAGAGACATACCTACATTATAATATATAAGGGACTATAATCAGCTTGTTTCCTTTCAAAAGACTGTCAAATTAAAGTTAGTAACACGCACGTGACGTTCTTATGTTTACTAGAAATACTCAATAGACGGTAGCACATTGGTGTTTGTAGCTTATTAAATGTTTTTGGATTTAAAATTACGAGTACAATAATCTAATTTTTTTAGAGTAATCCTAAATATTTTAATGTTAAGTTCATTGCTTAACAGTATTTAGTTATAAATAATTTTTGATATGAATTACTAAGTAGGTACCTGAATAACCGAGATCAGTATCATTATTTTATTTATTTTCGGGAAATGAAAGTTAGCTAGATTAATATTTCGTACCCGAATCCTCAACATACCTACACATTTTTTTAATTCACTGTAGCTTTTTCTGTAAATAAATATTTATTGTTACTTATATCTAGATCATTTAAGGTGCCATAAACTGTACTTTACCAATAGCGTGTGCTTTAAAGACTCTATAGAATTGAAAATTTCTTTAGTATATTTTCTTGAATTGAAAGAAACATTAATTTCTGATTACGAACATAAAAGGAATTGATTATTTAATACAATTCAGTACAATCTTAATAATAATGAAAAAACATCTGTAAACCTGCCCAACGTTCAATTACCGTCGAACTGAAAGCTGTTCATACCTAGTTAATAATAACAACGAAAAGAGAACGTGAATACAATTCCCAGGATGAGAATATCATAACACAACTAAAATGTATTAAGTATTATAGTATCAATGCGACCGGCGTCGCGACATTGGCTGACTGCAAAAACAATTACCAGAACAACACTACCAAAAGGTGTAGGGTGCGACAGTCCCACTAGGAGAGTTAAGTTCGCAGACTTTTTAATTTAGTTGGATAACAACAACACAACCGTAGCGTAAGCTACAAAGTTGTAGACTCGCGTAGTAGAACTACGTTGTAACGTAGCACGTTTGTAGCATGCCTAACGCGTATCGATTAGTCTCCCGGAATTACCCGACGAAAGGCGACCGTAGCCGAGTACTTCCGACTTCATCCGAGATCTACGTCCATACATAGCGGAAGTAATGAAATGTACAGAAAGATATGAACCGGAAAAATTGTCGCTCTCTTTTTCTTCACGTCGCGTCTTATCCGGATCCCTAAAAAGGCTTCCTTTGTCGGTTTTCCCTTTCAGCGCATTTTGCCTTCGGGCTGTAACGGATGGATGTTTATATCAAAGATGACATACGACCGACAACATTGCATTTAAATTCCATAAGCTATTTGAATTTTTCAATATTGTTAATATTACTCGACTTTTTATTTCAAACATATAATAGCAATAAGGCCACAACGTATCCTTTACAAATGCATTGTCACAAATACTTATTATTATAATAAGGAGTGCTATTAAAGTTCTTTAATGGAAAAGCGTCATTAAAGTTATATTTAATTGGCTGTATGGTGAGAGCCTAGTCGGGATGTCGCCGGGAAGTTCCCGTCGCGTTACGACCGCAGTCGGCGAGGGCTGGAGGCGATTTAACGTATTGTAATGTGAGTTTATACGACATTCCTCCCCCTCAGCCCCGACGCCTTGCAGCTAATGCCATAGCTCAATGATAGTTGCCAGTTCACGCAAGCTAGGCCTAAGCTAGCATCGATTTAAAGAATTTAAAATTTGAACTTCAATATTCGTATAGAAATTGAACCTTCTGTTTACAGACGATCGAAGGGCGGGGATGGGGTGGCGCACCCCAAATACATACCATGTTATTTATGGTATATTTTGACGTGCTCGCTCGCAGCTAACTTCAAGTCGCGTAGGATAATGGGGTGATGGATAGTGTTATCGGTCGCTGTTCATGGTGTTCCGCGTTCAAGTCGTGTATTTATTATTATTGTGTCGTGGAATTCCCCGTAATTATTTTAAATGGTAGTGAATAGTGTTCTTTCAGTGCTTATCTAGTTAGAAGACTACCGACCGGCGTTTGTCTCAATGCAGATTTTAGAAAAGGATAAGCTGAATTGGTTGGCTTGCAGTTTTCCTTAGTTCTTGAGGTAAATTAATTGTTGAAATAATAGTGAAGTGAAGTGAATTTAATCTGCAGTATTTTTCTCCTGGATATAATAAAAAAAGTCACTAAGGTAAGTTTTAACCTAATCTGAAAATAATAATACATTTTAAGTATTTCTTTCTAAATATCTAAAATGCCTACAAAACACAACAGAAATAGTCGGTAACGTTTCGAGAACCTTAGTTCAATAGTTAAACAAGTGCTTTTTAATTAAGTAAATATACGTTTGTTTACTATTTTAAGTAATGTTGTATAAAAATACTATATCAATCGTAGGTAAACATAGTGCATTCACCTAATGTTTTGACTACAGCGCCATCTCTCAATGGCTTAGGTTACTAACAGTAGTTCCCACCTTTGCCGTCATCAGTGGCGCCAAAGTGTCAACCGGCGACACGCCTGCAGTCACGCGGCGTTGACGCGCGTCGCAACATGTTTGCGTGGGTGTAGATCGCATCGCGATAAACAATTTATGTGTTTTCTTCCTTATCAAGTAATCAAAATAGTGTACTGAAGTTATCTGCTATGTTGTTAGCGTAACATAATTGGAGATAGTTACGAATGTTTACAAGTGTGCATTGTGAAGTTCTTGTTAGTGTTTCGTATGTGTGTTTTGTTGTTGCCGATAACGAGGGCAGGATTTTGGCCGTGGAGTAAAGGTCTAGGGCCGGCATGAGGAAAATAAACGGTGAGGAGATGAAAGTACAAACTGCTTCGAAGCATGCTTGTAGTGCATGAGTTCAAATAGTTTAATAACATAGATAACAGCCATGTGAGAATGTCACCGGGTTGCGTCCACTGATAACGAAAAATAGAACGTAAAGATCGAACTAAAACATGTTAAAGAATTTAGAATAAATTAAAATTAAAATTTCGAGGTTTATAGCAAATTCTGTTGCCCGTAGCTATTGTGTCAAGAACATGGGGTGCTTGTAATTTAATAGGGGACCGGTGTGCCGTAATAATAGCTGTAGGGTTCGCACTTTTACCCTTGAATTTATTATCACAGAGACATTAACGTCCGCAAGTCCACTAACTTTAAATAATTATAAATTTTTGTTATGTTATGAGAGGACCAGAAAATATTTCATAACTTGGGAAGAATCACAAAATAGTATAACTCACTTAACTATATTTTTATAGATGAGCGTTATGTATTAAATATCTGCCTTCAAAATAGAATTGCATAAGAGATGGTGGAACGACCGAAAATCATTAACCGTAGCAGATCCCATACAAATGGTCCATAAACGTAATCCGACAATGTTTGATGGGTTGCCGGCCGGGCGGACGTTCCGTTGCGAATCCGGCATTCTGTGACTGCCTAGACAAAAGTGCACCATGGAGACGACCTCACAAATATCCATCGCAGAACGTGTTAGTTACTGCATCCTTTCTCATATATTTAGTAACTTAAAACTTCTTTGGTCAAGGTCAACACAGAGATCGTTAAAACATCATCTACCGAGGACACAGCCGATGATGCAATGGTTAACAGCCTTAAAGGAAACCAATAGCATTATAAAACCATTGAGCAGCTTACCTACCTATTTAACATTCCGTGCAGAATCAAATTTAAATTTTCATACATAATTTAGAGTCTCCATTTTGTGAATATGACGCGTGAGGTCTGTGTTAGACGCAAAGCGAGATTTATTGTTTAATGATTGCGTCGCTACGGTGTACAACATCTGTTTAATTAAATAACGTTCTTAGTACATCAACTTCATGGAACATAGTCCTTCAGACGAAGTAAGGCTGCCTTCTTCAGATGTGATGTCCAATAAAAGGGTATCCATCAAACTTTACCTGCCAATAAACAGGAATTCGGATAAAGTTAATTACGGTAACATGGTGCGAACATCAAACTTGCGGCAGTTTTATGAGTTCAAGAAATGATGGAGCAGGAGGGGTCGTTGTCCGAAGCTTAGTTAATATGCTTGCACGTACCGGCACAAAATCAAATAAACAGTCGCTTTCATCTCCGGTTTATCGACGATGCACTTGGTAGCCTTGCACTTTGTGTGTGTGAACAACTGTTCGGTCGCAACGACCATTACTCAGACATTCGAGGTTGCCGACTCAATTGCAATTCATATCGATTATTTAATTTGCATTGCTTGCGACTGTAAAAAGCATATGTACACTTCGCAGGCATTTCCCTAGGGCTTGATTAAAGTTAATTCCTTTAATTACTGAACAGTTGTTTTATTTGCCATTAATGAGCTTGGGTTATTTTCTTAAGGTTCTTAAAGAGGATAGTAAAGCTTTTCTGATTTGAAGAAATTCCTTGTAAACAGCTATTTCATTATATCCATCTTCTAGTAAATGTGCGTATATTGTCTATTGTCTACCGAGTGCACTCAAACCAAGCGCATTGTTTGTAATTCATTAGCTCATAAAACAATTTCTAGCAATCATACGTCTAATAACCGATAATGCTTCTATTGATTTTGCCAGTGGCTCGGAACAGCACTCCAATATTGACAATGAGCGGTAGTTTAGACGCCACTACGTGCTTTGGGAGTTGATGAGAATGGTACGTGACTCCCAGTTCATTGCTCCAGT